AAGAAAGAAGTTAAACCACAAATCCATCTCATACCGAAACACACACAGACACACACACACACATAAATGCAGCTGCTATTTTAATCTTGACTTTTTTTATTGTTATTATTATTGTTGTTATTGTTATTGTTGCTGTTGTTGTTTTGATTGGATCAATTTTTACCAGCACATTGCTCTACTGTATTAAAGAGAGAGAGAAAAGAAAAAGAAGAAAAAGAAATCTCAGCAAGCATTCGGGTGCCGACTAATGAATGCATACACGGTGCAGGTACCGCAAAACCTCAGTGGACTCACTATTGTTTTCCCTTTTGAGCCTGCTTTCTGGGTTTCCTCTTTTACCGGTCTCTTTTTTTTTTTTTTACAAAGAACATCCATGATATCAAGAAAGCAACCTACTCATCTTCAAAACATGCTGCAAAAACTTAAGACTGTTACATAAAGTCACACCTCAAAACAGACTTTCCTGCTAACTTTTCCTTTTCTTTTTTTTTTCCTTTTCTATTTTAGACAGTGAGCTTAAAAAAAAAAGAAAAAAGCAGATGTGTCTTTTACGGGTCTAACGGGTGTTGTCGTACGTTGGGGGGGAGGGGGAAGAAACGAAGAGGAGAATGTTAATTCTTTGATGGTAGAACTGAAAGTGAAAAGTTTAGTAATAGGGCTAGGGAGAAAGAGACGTTGTTCTTCTGCAGCATTTGGGGAAAACATCTGCTTTGGAGCTACTTCTCAGGTAAACAGTTAATGAGAGGAAGGGCAAGTTTAGAGGCAGGGTATAAAAACTGCTGCAGAGTACAGAGAAAGTTGGATCTCTGAACATCACTGGGAGGGGTTCTTTATCTCAGGCTTCAACAGTGTTAAATGAAAAAAAAAACACCATCGTTTATTTCCAGGTTTAAGAACAGGATATTGGGACTGATTTACTGTAAATTTTCTCGAAAGATATCTCAGAGAGCAGTGTTAAAATTTCTAAAATTTATGAATCACAGAATCTGTGTGAAAGAAGCAAACGCCTAAATGGCTAGGAATGGGTACAATTAGATGTCAGCTAACAAAAATGGGAGACCATTTAGGTTTTGACCTGAAGCCCATGTTCCGACAAGTTCCACTGAGATCAGCAGGACTTACTTCCATGTAAAGATGTTACGATTTGTCTCTGATGAATTTTATCCTGATCTCACCCCTTAGAAGCCTCACTGTATCCATGCTTCTAAGGACGTGTGTTTGGGAATATCTGCAGGGCAAACGGAAGCTATTTTCAAAGCTCTCCAGGTGCTATGGCTGCCTGCTGTGGGTTTTTACGAAGTGTTGAGTGTACAAGGATGATTTAAAAAACTATCAGAGCCTTCACACAAGTACCTCCTCAAGAGTTCCTTGGTGGAAGTCATTTTTACCAAAACCAGTTTGAAAGAGGTTTCCAAGTTATGTATAGATGTGCATAATTTTGCATTTCTACAGATTGATTCTAAACTATATTTAGGCATGCTACTTGGAAGTAAACTGTGCTCTTTTCAGTGGGGCTCTCTTCTAGGAATGGGTCCATAGATCAGAACCCCTCCGGTTGTTGTTGTTGTTTTCCTTGATTCATTCTTCTCTGCACTCTGTCACCGAACTCTTTCATCTTAACAGTGGTGCATATTTCAACTATGATTAATTCTATTATGCCATAAACTCGCTCTAGTCAGTGAATGTTCCTAATGCTGCTGATTCAACATTTAAATATTTTTTTAACTTGCAAAACATGCAATGATTTTTTTAAGAAGAATTAGAACACACATAACACATTACGTGGCTTCCGAGATTTAAACTAAAAAAAAAAAAAGTTTTGAAAAAACTTCATGACCACAGACCACCTCAAACCAGATATACCTCAGAATTTTCTACTTGTATGAGTTTTATTATATATTTTGTTAGTTGTGTTGTCTTGTAGTATGTATATTTTAATGTAAGTTGGCTTTTATGACAAGGGAGTTTTAAAAAAAGAAGAAAAGAAGAAAAAAAAGTTCCAAAATCTTTTAGGAAGTGCTACCATTTTTTTTGTTTTTGTTTTTATAAAACACCATTGTAAATAAGTGTAAACGGTTTTAGAATAACTGCCTATATATGGTTCCGGGGCATTATTCACTGTTATTTTTGTGAAGGCTGTTTCCATTCTCTTCTTTGTGTAAAGGGTAGGAGGAGCACAAGCTGTTTTAGCAAAGAAAACCAGTGCATCATTTTTATTTATTTATTGTTATTATTATTATTTTGCAAAATAACATTTAATATTAACCCTATAGGTACAACATCAATCTACAAATGAAAGTTGTTTTGTTCAGGCTCCCAGTTAGCCACTGATTTGAGAGAACTATCGTGGGATGAACATACACAGCTTGCAGTTCCTATTGTCCTTGTGCTATAAAGCCGTTCCAAAAATTGAGCGGGATGCAGATATAATCTTATGCAAACAGACGGGTGGAGGATAAACCTCCACCTGCTCCTTTCCACAGGAGTGCCTTCAAGTCCCATCTAAATACTGTAAGAGAGGGGAGAACTGCTGAGTAGGGTAAGCAGAACGTCAGCAGGAAAGAGAGTAACATTGCACTGTCTCTGAAGGGAGCTCCATTTGGGAGATGCACCAGCAGCTCGTTTTCAGAAATGCCCTTCTTCTCACTTAGCCATCTGCATTTCATCTTAACTAATTCAAAAATTAGCTAAGGTGTTAGTTAATTTAGCAAGGGCCCCTACCTCATTGTGGGTTCACCTTCAGGAAGAGAAGGCGTCTGCTTTGCAAACTAAAAGCTGGATCTCAACCCACCGCTGCTCAAGAATAGTTTGCAGCTTAGAGATTCAGCATGGGTGTTCTCCAATATTTTCAATAGGATATTGGAGGGGCAAATGTCCCCTAACTGGTATGTTGAAGCTGCTGTCTCCTAAAATATTGGTCTATCCCCATGCTAAAGATATCATAGAAGAAGATATCATAAACCGCCCAGAGCAGATACTTTCCAGATGGGTGGTATATAAATCTGAAAGACAAATAAATAAATAAAATATAGGAGAGATTTTTCTGAACATTTTTTTGGACATCCCAGCTACACCGTGTTAACTGTGTAGCCCCCCCCCCATTAACTAGTCAGACGTTCAGGTCTCATTTTTATTTGGGGAGAAGGGAACATAAGCCACCCTTTCTCCTCCCTAGACAAAATTGTTTCCAAGAACTGAACTATACCTTTCTGAGCATTTTTTTTAAAAAAGAGGGGCATTGAGAGGGTGGATTGGGACCCTAAGAGATACCCTTTGGAGGCCACACGTAACGTGCAGGCCACATTTTACCCATCTGTATGAGGATGTAGGCGGCAGTTTCTGACTCTCAAAGGTAGCGAGTGACTTGTAAGAAAACACAAGTAAGAAAGTGGAATCTTGTTCCATTTTTCGTGCTTCCATTGCATATCTAGAGCAGCCGTTCCCAACCTTGGACCTCCAGATGTTCTTGGACTACAACTCCCAAAAATCCAGGCCAACCCAGCTAGTGATGGAGGCTCCTGGGAGTTTTAGTCCAAGAACTTCAGGGGGCCCAAGGTTGGGAACCACTGATCTAGAGGGACGTAGGGAGAAAGGGAGAGAGCCTTCTCTTCCCTGCCATGGAAAGCAACATGTATTCCTCTTGCTTCCGATGAAATCAGGATCTGTGGGGAAAGGAAACATCAATGATGCTTCCTCACAAGCTGCTCCTTTTGAAAGTCCAAAGCAGCTTTAGGGTAAATGTTTCTTTCACACCATTTTAAAATGTTAGTTAATATTCGAGGTAAATTCCATTGAAAGCAGTGCAGCTTAATTTTAAGTAAATTGATTAAATTCATTCAGAGCTGAGGAATATGGATGGGCCTTTTCATTATTCCCAGTCAGTGTTTTTTTTTTTTTTTAATGACAAATGCAGGTGCCTTTTCCGAATTTCAGGCTGTCCTGCTCATAATTCCTAATTAATTGGCATTTTCTTGAAAAGTATCTTTGTATTGCTAACGGATAAGTACAGCCTGCCCACGTAAAAAAAACATGGCAGGGTTCTTAATACCTTTAATAGTTATGTACAGGATAAGCAGGGCGTTTATAGCAAGGATAGCTGGTGATACAGCTTGCCACTAAAATTCCCTCTCCCGCGCAGTTATTAAAGGTATAAAGAGCTCCTCCCCTTCTTCATGAGATGACTCTAGTTAAGCTTATTGATCATTTTGTTTGGCTACAAAATCGTGGGAGTTTAAAAGTTGCGTATAATGCACACAAATTTTTGCAAGCAACGTCCTCTGTTAATCCTGGCTATTGTCTCTTTCCTTTCGGATTATCTGCACTTGGTTTGCCACCTGACTGCAGATTAGCTCTGTTGAAGGGAGTACCTCAGAAATCACAATGTGCTGGTTCCTGGCGTAGTGGGTAGCCGTTAGTTAGGTGCTGCAAAATTCTCGAGCTGCTGTGTGGAAATCCACTAGGACAGGCTTGCACAACTTGTGATTCACCATACATATGGCAGCTTATCAACCTCCTTGCTTCTGCAGTCCTATCAAAGGGATGGAGGCTTCTGTGCAGGCTCTTGCGTATAACTGACATGTCACAAGTTAGGGAGCCATGAGTTAGGAGACATTCATTTGTGAATAGAACTTTAATTTTTATCTTTGTGAATTGATGTTGTAACGGGGAACAACATAAGCTTTTTGTGGATGGTGAACAGTTAAGAGGAAATAAATCTTGGACCTATACATTTTCTTAAATGCAAGGTGTAATGATCCAGGTTGTTTATTGCCAGTGGTAAATGATGTCTGGTCTTTTAATTATTGTCATAACTGCTGCTTTGGGTTTTCTTCTTCCTTTCTTGCAGCATTATTTCTGTAATTGCTAAAACAGGCTTGTTACAGCAGTTGCTTTGC